AAATTTTTGGGGCTGGAGCTGGTCGTATCTCGAAAAATTCGTAAGTAGGGGTGTTTGTAAGTAGAGGCGAGTTCGTAAGTAGAGGTAAATTTTTGGGGCTGGAGCTGGTCGTATCTCGAAAAATTCGTAAGTAGGGGTGTTTGTAAGTAGAGGTACCACTGTATTTGAGAGTTTATGTAGGTAATGTTTGGTTTCTGAATGTGTACAGTGGATTTCTTGAGTGTGGTATAGTATATGGGGATGGGGTCTTTGTGGGATATATGTGGTTTTGCATTGAGGGAGCATGTGGTGTAGCTTAAGTTTCCATGGGGTGGTGAGGATGGGATGGGGTGTCCATGTTCAGAAGAGAGGTGGCACAGCATATATGAATTGTTGTGTTTTGAATGTGGCAAAAGTGTAGAATGTGACAGTCCTAGTATATAGTGTTTGTGAGAGCTTCACATATTTCTAACCTATTATCTTCAGCTGACTCTTGTCATTGGATGAAATCCAATTTTCCATCTCTTAAGTCATATTATGTGACTCGCTCAAGCTCAGATACTTTGGTCACCTAATGCGAAAAGAGGACTCTTTGGAAAAGACCCTGATGCTGGAAAAGATTGAAGGAAAAAGGAGAAGGGGATGGCAGAGGATGAGATGGTTAGATGAAGCAATGAGCATGAAACTGAGCAAACTCAGGGAGGCAATGAAGGATGGGAAGGCTTGGCGCAATATGGTTCATGGGGTCACGAAGAGTCGGACACGACTTAACGACTGAACATACATGTAACCCTCCAAGAGGCCAACTATCAGTCTTATATGATATAAGTTTTTTTAGTATGAAAAAAAATTGTTAATTTCAAAAACTACTTGAGCAGTATTATTGGGGAAACTGCTCAACCCATTTTATTGCAGAAGTAAGTATTACATTCTCTAGAGTCTCTAGAGGTTCCTCTGCCCTTATTCTGCCCCAATCCATTTCACCTATAGGGGCATGTCTAACAGAAGCTGAATCTGTGTAGACAGAACTGTAAATTTCCAAAATGGAAAATGTCCTCCATGAAAGGAGAAAAAGACATTTCTTACCATAAGAAATTTCTGCATCATCTTTGACAGCAAAATACTAAGGGTGCATTTTTTTTCCTTTTTGATAGTGTTAAGAAAGGTTTAGAAGCTGTGCTGCTCTTCTAGTCCAAGAGTAAGAATGTCCTCTTCTCTGCTAATAATGCCTGCTTACTCCTTGCTTACTCCAGAGGGAGCCACTATTCTATTGTTTAAAAAAATGTTCTCCAAGAGACTAAAAAATTGATAAGTATATATTTTTTCTTTTCAGTCCACACATTCTAGTAATTATCATGCTTATGGCTTCCTTATATAGCCATAGTTGTCCTTTTGGAATTAGGCAGGAAGTCAGAAATTATTATGTGCATGGAAGGCAGGGGTCATTTCCCACCAAAAAATTTGTTTAGCTCTGTAAGGTTCCAAGTGTAATTTTATGCAAAATCAAGCACAGAACTCAGGTGTGTTACTAAAAGGAGGGCCATTTGAAGAATCAGCAGTTTATCATACCATAAGTGATACATATTTCAGTTTGGATAAAATTTGAAAGGAAAATTGGTTTCTAAATTCTGTTTTTATTTTTCATTGAAAACTATGTGAAATTCTTTTTAACTTCAGAGTATTAAAATGAACTGTGATAAGCCATTGTTGTTGTTCTTAAATACCTGTTTTCACTCCAAATATTTATCTTTGCACTGATTCAGTTTTGCAGCCTCCCCTTGATATATAGTGGAACACTCTTTTTGTACATGAGAATTTAATTCTGAGGACTTTCAGAGTAAGAAGCTGTTCATGAGTCATTTTAATACAAGATATTTGATTAATTATTTTCATCTCTCCTCCTTTGCAGGTATCGCCCTGTCTGAGTGTACTCTCGTGGCTGCTGTTTGTCAATGATACAGATGTTCTAGCAGATGCATGTTGGGCACTCTCCTACTTGTCTGATGGACCCAATGATAAAATTCAGGCTGTGATCGATGCTGGAGTGTGTAGGAGACTTGTAGAGCTGTTGATGTAAGGATTTTAAATCAAGCAAATGTGCTAACCCTCCTCACTTTTTGTTAAGTTATTCTGTTTCCAGTATTGGTGTAAGATTGAATTCAACATTTCTTTCTCATTCAGTGACTGAAAATATTAATCTGGTATCAAAGCCTCCTTTTTGAATAGCATTTAGACAAGTAGTCATCTTGGCTTTACAGCACATCTTTCCAATGTCTGTCGCTCTCTTAGATTGCTACAGAAGAGCTAGCTATGATCTTGATGCACAGTTATTTTTCAGAGTAAAGTCTTATTTGGAAGTAAAACTTGCCCATTTGCAGTGTCTCCTTTGTAGTTACCCGGTCTTCCTTTTGCCACCCGTTGAGGCCCATATAACCAACTCTCCCCACTTACTATGCTCCACAGCTCATGAACAGCTGGGAATGGGCGTCTTGATATTGCTGGATATGTAGCTGAGGTCAGTGGCTGGTAGTTTTTGTGAGGTTCACGTACCTTTCAGTGAGATAATAACCTCTGAGGGATTAAGTATGAATGGATTATCCATATTAAATGGCAAAATAGCACAGAAAGAATCCTTTGTTAACCCTCTAGCTTTAATGAGGATAATATAGCCAAGTTTTGCGCAAGCTGATTCATATCTACACACCTTTCACTCCCACATATATACCAGACCACTGGCCAAAGAGGAATGGAAGCAATGAATTACAGCTTCAGATGGTTTAAGTACATATGTCGTTCCCCTCCCCTCCTCCCAGCTTCCTATCTAGTCTTCTATTTTGTAGCAGACTTTAAGTACCCTCTGACCTCCCAAAATTACAAAATTTAATATAAGCAATTCCGGACTTTATATTCATAATGCATAATTAATGCTAGATCTCATGGCTTAACATTCTGAGATGTAATACTAAACAAGTATGAATTATTCTAGCATTGCAGGATAGAGAAAAAGATACTAAGTTAAATCTTTTATACATTCCAGAAAAAAAAATACTTGGCCCCCAAATGAACTGGTAAATCAGTAAATTTCTCATATTAGGGAAGCGTAGAAGGGTGCTTATATTTTTACTAAATTGCTATAGCTTCTCAAGAGTGAGAATCTCTGATTCAAAGAACAGGAATGTGTTCATTAACATTTGTATTCAGTTTACTGTGGACTCCCCTTAGGGTAAGATTTGTTCTTTCAGTCAATTTTTTTTTCCAACATATAAAATAGTATTTCAAAAAAGAAAAAAAGTACTGAATTCAGAGGCGCTACTGCTTTTACACATGGCTTGCCCACTTGGCAGCAGAAGATAGATCCTTATTCATTCTCTAGATTGTATATTTTAATTGTTTTAGTTTAAGTGCCTAAGCTGTGCATAGAGTAGTGACAGTACCAATGACAGAAGTTATCTGTGAGTGCTTTCCAGTGGAAAAATGTGTTCTATTCATTCGGACCACTTTGCAAGAGAAAATTTTTAGTTTTCATACATGGACATTCACACAGTCCCTTCTCGGACTATGATGTAGTTCCATCTACTTTTGATGTGCAGTTTTACTTTAATCATTCATGACCAGTTGGCAAGGAATGTGACAAATTTGATTTCAGCCTTTGATAACTTCTGTACAGCAATATTTTAATAAATAGTATTTGACATAATTATTGATACATACAATCAAAAAATAAAACACAGCCAGAAGTGTTAGTGTCATATGTTAGTGATTATTCATTAAAAAAAAGATAATGTAAAAACAATGATACCGCATTGCAATCATCACAAAAAGTCTACATCTGAATAAATAATATTTTCTGTATTTTTCATATCTTGTACAATCTAATAATACTTTCCCATGTGGTATTTTTTCATCAGGTTTGGACTTTTAGGAGTCTTGCCGTGCTTCTTGGTTATAAGACAGTATGTGCATTTGTTAATCTGCAGCCTTTTCTTGTTTTAGGCACAATGATTACAAAGTGATTTCTCCTGCCTTGCGAGCAGTTGGGAATATTGTTACAGGAGACGATATCCAAACCCAGGTATTAATTTTTCTCACTGGAACTGAATGTACTCATTTCAAACAAGTCATTGAACAGAAGGAAATTTGCCATCTGAAGGACATTATAAAAACACAAGTTTTTTTTCAGAAAGGCAACGTGGTCCCTTTGTCCTACGTCAGATTTCTTTGCTTTGAAGTCCTCTGAAAGTTATTTCAGTTACTTTACAAGGTTTGTGATACATAGTTTGCTGAATAGGTATGTCTCTGCCTATTAATTTTAGGTATTTGAAATACAGTTAAATCTTTAGATCATAAATAATTTCACATGGAATGCTCTAGTACATTCCTTCTCAAAGATGTTGAAATAGGATCCATCTGTAAACATACATTGCCTTTCAAATCTTATTGTCCAACTCTTGGTAACAGAAAATACAAAAATATTGAATTATTACTTAATCCTGAACAGAATGATTTTTTTACATAGAATTTGAATAGAAACTGTTACAAAATTTTGGGATGGAAGTAGGAGAGTCCGTACCCATCCTTCACTCTTTGCTCTGTGTGTGTTTTTCTTTTTGTGAGGTTTGTACATATTGTCCCTTACTAGTATATTAAAAAGAGTCTGTTGAGTGATTGAGCAGATGTTTTAAACTGTATACAATATGTTGAATGGTCTACAATTCCTGGAGATCCATTATATGATCGACAGTATAGAAATATTAAAACAAAAACAAATAAATATTGCAGTAGGTTCCTAGTCTTGAATTAGGACTTTAAAAACTGCCTGAAATGGTGGAAAACTGTTGGACGATACTGGTGAAATGAACCCAGATAAATGTCTTCAGATAAGGCAACTTCCTATATTTGTAGGTATTCCTTGATGGTAGCTGCTTTTTTAACAAAGGAATGTTGGCTTTTGTATGACATTTGGTTCTGAGCATGTTCTCCTTCCTAAAAATAAATCTGCAAATCTAAATCAATCTTTAGAGCTTAGTGGTGTTTAGGCAGGTGAGTAGTTGAGTATCAAATGATGTAGTGAGTTTAATATTTATATTCATAAATACAGAAAGATGCTTGTTATTTCCAAGTGCAACAGTGGGAAAGTCTGTTAGGTCCTCTAATAGCTAGAAGTGCATTAGTCAGTCAATCAGTCAATATTATTGATAGCTCTGATCTCTCCTGGTAGATTGCCCTGCAACCACATTGATTCTAAACATTGTGTTTTGAGGAGGGTGCAAAGGAGGGAATGCAGCATGCTTAGGTTTCAAGGAAAAGGTGTTTAGATGTTGAGGAATAGTATAGGTCTGTGATCTAGGCTAACATTTTCCTTACTCATTCTGTATCCTCCATCACCCTAATCCCACTCTTAAATCATAATAGCCAGTAATTGCCAAAGGTCATAAGTATACATTCATTAGTCAGCATTTGACTAAAGCATTTGCCCAAGCATTTGACAAAATATTCTATGATATTCTGGTTAACAACTTGATTAAGCATTGGCTGCATGGTTTGACGGTTAAGTGCATATGCTAACTGGGTTGAAAACTACTGTCTTCAAAATGGCCAAGGTTTATCAACTGTATGAAAAGCTATGATGTGTTGGACCCTTTATAGTTGATAATTTTCTGGCTAATATTTCATATATTAGTGCTTCCATGAGAGCACTAATTCCATAAGAGCCCTTTTCATTAGACTTCCTTGGATCATTTATAAATACATCCCCAGACTTCCCATGATTCTCCAGCTTAGATTCTGTTCTGAACCACATTGAATCTGCTACTCTTAACACTTTTTAAATCTTCCTTATTTCTATAGGAATAGACCCCACATCTTTCTCAGTTTTTCAGCTGCCATCTTAGCAGGGAACAGTTCTTCTCTTCAAAGAGAAAATTGCCCATTTATTCTACTCTTTGTTTTCTGTTTTTTAACCATAAGTCATCCATTAAAGGACAGGTCAATGAGGAATTTTATTAAAGGCTCTTTGAAAATCAAAATATACTGTGTTGATTGGGTCATCTCCATCCACATGTCTGTTGATATTCCAAACACTTTAGAAGTCTTTCCTTCAGCAAGGCTTTTCTTTTATGTAGCTACATTTTTTTTTCTTTGATTACCATTTCTACCACCATTTCTACCAGTTTGCCTGGAAGAAGTTTAAGCTAAGTGCCTTTTAATTTCCCAGATCTCATCAGAGTCCTTTTAAAATGGCTACTGACAGATAAAAAGTTCTGTACAGCTCAGCAGCATTAAGACTATCACCCCCGCTAGCCATATGTGAATGCAGGTGACCTTCAAGTGACCTGTATGAGATCTCCCTCAAGGATTGCCAGTAAAACCAGGGAACTACATGGAATCTCCATCCAGTGTGCAGCTTGGGTGGTATCTCCCCTTTAATACCATTTATAAAATGAGTAAATTCATGATTCTAATTCCTGTTTTGAATTTCACATTTTCAGATCTTCACTTAAACAGCAAAGAAACAACTAGTAAACAGCAAAAAGAAAAAGAAACATAAGCATAGTAATACATTAAACTTAACAGTCAAAACAATTGTTAAACAGCAGAAATAAAATTAAAAGACCACATTGCAGCATAAATAGAGAATTAATATTTGTAACATCAGCATTAAAAGACTGTTTTATAGTAAGCAGAATATTGAAGCCATCCATTACTGCATAGCTATACAAGCTGAACTGATTCTGGATGTGAGTGGACAGAGGGGATTTGGGAAGACAAAGTACTACAGGATTCAAACCAATATTTCCTTGTTCATCTCTGAGCTTTTTCACGCAGCTAATACCACTTTAAATAAATCAGTCATAGTATTACATGAGATTATAATCATGTCTTTTGCTGGCTATTGAGAAGGAGGTATGATCTGAAAATGTCTAACTTTATCTAAGGAGATATGTTTGCTTAGCATGATTAACTCTTACAGGTAGTCCTTGCTTAACTGCCACAATTGGGACTGGGATTTAGATTGCTAAGCAGTGCGGTTGTTAAGATGTCATGTGACTGCTTCGCCTAACAACGGCAATGCCAGCAATTCCCCTTGCCATCATTAAGCAAATTTTACCAGTCATTAGCCAAGGACCCACCCCAATCTAAGCTATTCTGGGCTCGGTCCCTCCCAGCCCTAAGCCTCAGTAAGGTAAGGGACTGCCTCCAGTTCCCCCCTCCTGCCTATTTCCCCCCCCCCATCTCTGCCCTATGGCCGCTCTGCACCTTGCCTTGCAGGGCAGCAGCCAGCCCCAGAACCACGCCGCTCTGAGGCTTCTCGTCACACCCTCGGAAGCCACAGCTTCCCCAGTCCAGGCCCACCCGCCTCCTTCTT